ATTCTCTGTAAAAGAACAATAAACGACATCAGCACGCAATAGTTGTACCAGTCTTACCATTTATGTATACATATTTATAGTAGTTGTACCCGTTATACCACTTATACAACCTATACAAGTTGTACCAATTATACTAGTTATCCGGTTAGACTAGATGTATCAGTTGTACTAGTTATGCTTTATTCGCGGAGAGATCCAGAAAATGTTCGCTGGAGTGAATTTTTTTTTTAAATTAATGAAATAATTCATTAAGGGTAAAATAGGTAATTCATATTAGGAAGATTATGAGAGATTAATAAATGTCAGTTTTGATTTACCTTCCTGTACGGAAGGTCTTTTGAGATTTTGATCCTCTGAGCCACCATTGCCGAGGGGTCAGAGAAAACGCAGCACCGGCAGTCGGAGGAGGAGCTTCACCTACTCCATGGAAAAGAGCGCGACAGGAGAGGGAGAAAAGAACCGGTCGGAGGAGTACAACGCCGGGAAAACTCAAGCGCGGGAACAGCACCGCCGTCCCATAGCGGAGCCACCCCGCAGGAGAGACATCCGGAAAGATCTCCATCCGAAGTCCCACTCTCCCTTCACCACCAGCTTCACGACTTCAGCTTCCGCGGTTTGATCAGATCATTTGTGGATTTAAATATTCAGAAGACAATGAGATTAAGGCGATAGTATTGTTTCTAAAGCTTTTGAATCAGCTGATTTAAGCTCCTTGTTGAACTGTTGAGAGTCTCTGTCGATTCTTGAAACACATCCTTTGCCATGGAATTTGGAAAAGGACTCTCGCTCCGAGACCACACCTTTGCTGAAGCAGGAAAATCATTCAAGAGTTCATATACACAAAAGAAAGAAAACAGAGGCAAAGAATATTATTTGAGATAATCCAAATATTTAATTTAAGCCACATCTTGGTCTTTCAAGTTTAAATATGTTTTGATTCTTCCTGAAACAGGAATCATCAAAAACTTCGGATACAGAGCAGAAATAAAAATAGAGGAAAAGAGAATAGAAAATAAAGAAAACAGAGAAGGAGAATGAACATGTACATTGATGACTGCAGAGAAGTTATCGATGAGGAAAGGATCGGGTAGGACTCAGGAGTGTAGACTTCGCTAAGCAAAGACAAAGAGTTATCATAGTAGCTTTTTTGTACGAAGTCGTTGTTAGCTGCCCTAAAGAGGTGCATTGCTTCCTTTGAGCCGATGCGTATTCTCGATGGAACCCTGAGATGCGCTGGTGTAGCCTGTTGTCTCAGATTGACACAACTGTTGGAACTCGTTTTTGACGAAATGGTTTTAGACTGTTTTCGGGGAGTTTCCGGCGAAGAAGTTGGTCGGAATAACTGAATTCGTAGCCGTAAGCATTATATTGTAATGTTATCAAATTTCAAAATTGGAATTGGTTTGAATGAGAAATAGATGTCCGAAGTAGGTTGCTAGTAAGCTTAAAAAATAACATTTATAAAATATCCTACTTTGAAGATATGAAGTGATATTCTCTTGTATATAAAGTGGAGAATACAAAACAAGATTCAAAACTTTGGGTATTAAATAAAAGAGAGTTTTAGGCCAGACTCGAGGTTTGGGCTTCGGAATTTAGAAAATGGGCTAACGGATTATATTATTATTCTTTTTGGCCCAAATTCTTTTAAATATTTTGTTGACTAAATCAACAAATATCTCTTTTTAAAGTTTGATATTAATGACCTAAATATCAATCCTAACTATTAAATGACAAGCATCTTTACTAAAAAAATTTATGTGTTAACACCTAAAGAAAAGTTAGTGTAAAACAATGCCATGTCATAAATGTGACATGTCAAATTTCCTAAATTAACGAAATGTTTTGATTGGTTAAGTTAAAACTATATAAATTTTATTTTTAAATAAATTTTTTTATATATTATATGTGAATGAATTTTCATTATATAGCAAAAATTTGAAATTATAAATAAAACAAAAAAATAAACAAAGAGAAAAATAAATTATAAATATCATGTTAGCTAACTTTTTATTATAATATTGTATATATAAATAAATAGTAGAAATAAAAGTAAAAATAAATCTTTATGACTTTGGTTTTATATACAAATCTCAGGTCATATTTTTGATTAAAGCATCTCCAACTCACATTTATTTTAAATGTTCTAATTTAGATGAAAAAAAAGATTGTTACTTTTTTCAATTATAGAGGGAAAAAATAATAATCTTTCGTTTTTCTGTAAAAAAAATAAGATGGAAAGAAGTCTATTTATATTTTAGAAAAAAAAATAAAAAAATACATGTGAGATGATCTTAATGTTGAATATATTATTAAAGGTTAAAAATATATGATTCAAAGAAGAGAATAAAATAAATAAGAATAGTTCTGATCGATTTTATGTTTTTATTTCAAATATTTAAAATATTATTTTACACATATTATTTCTTTCATGAATATATTTTTCCAACATATTAAAATATTATTTCATGAATCATTTTTTTTGTATAAGTTGTGATCCATTATATTTTGTATTAACAAATATATTAAAGTTAAGAACATATCAACTCTTAATTTTTAATATAACAATCAAATATTAAATATATTATTTTACACCTTAAATCATTCACATATAAGTTTAGATCTGATTGACTTAAACGATTATGTTACAGAGAGTTTGTGGAAGCGAGCGATTTTGGATTATTAAAAATTTTAACGAAGAGATGAGCGGAGAGCTACCGGAAAAACCATATATCATAAAACGCTGAAAAATAAGAAATTTTGATTAAATAAAAAACGATAGAAACAGTTTTCGTGATTGTTGTTAAACGCCAATAACTGCATCGTATAAATACATAAAATTTGCGGAAAATATCAAAAAACCTACCAACACATAAATATTACAGTTCACTTATTTCTAATTCATACCTAAATGCATAAATATACTTATTGTTTTTTTAAAAAAAATCAACCATAAGTTATAAAATATGTATTACAAAACATTTACTTTGTTATTTTCTTTTAACGCATAAAGGCCATTTTTGATAATTTTACAAATGTGCGTGTATATATAAATATTAATTGTGTAAAAATAAAATTTGTATGCAAATTTGTCGTGCATACATTTTGTTAACCTCGATTACACTCTAATTTTAATTTTAGTTGTTATACAACTTATATTTTATTAAAATCTTTATATGTCCTAAGAGCATGAGGTGATTCGTGCGGACCAACCATCTATTCTCTCTTAGGATAAGTAAATATGGTAAAATTCATTCTGGTTTAAGTAGCAATATGTCAAGGAAAAATACTTAATATATATATATTGGTAAAATTATATTCTGTAAGGAGAAAAAGATAGTATAGTATAGATAATATTTAATATATTATAAAAATTTAATTATTATTTAATATAACTTTTATATTTATAATCACTTGTTAATGTAAACGCTAGAAAAAATAAAAAAATTCAAAAGACACAAAAATATAGGAAACTTTTGTGTGATTGTTGTTGAACACTAGAACAGTATATGTATATAAACATAATATTTACATAAAATATAAAAAATTAATCAATACTTAAATATTACAACTAATTATGTCTAAAAAAAATTATACATGCACATGCATGCAAGCCAAAAATAAAAATTAAATAAATTATAGATTTTCATGTTTTTCTATTTATTTAGCTATCATATTTAAATTTTTTGATCTAATAAAATATGTTAAAATCTTAGTTAATATTTTTATCTTCATTAACTTTTGAAATATATAATATTTTATATTTAATAAATCATTTTTATTTTTAATATATAATTAATTATATACAAACGAATCATTTATAATATTATACTATTAATAATTAAACATATTAAATATGTTGTAGCCTGCACACAGTGCAGGCCGATTACCTAGTAGGAATTAAACACAAAATCAATTTTGATTGATTGTTTGTGTAACCTCCTCTTAATTCACGTGAAAGTGATTAAATTGTGAGTAAATTCCAAATCTCCATTTTATTGCTTACGTTAAGTATATAGGCTATATAAGTAAGCCTTTGTCTTCTATTCTCATACACACATCGACAACAGCAATCCTCCATTCTTCTCCTTATGTTTTTTCTCTTGAGAGTACACACAGTTTTAAGGTTCGATATGTTCTGTTCTTCGGTGCTGGAAAACAGAAACGCTGCAGAATCTGAGCGCTGCAAAACCGTCACACTATGAGGCGTTTAAAGATTTAAGAAAAGAAATTCATCTCGACTCTGCAATTCCTTGTCACTCTTTTTAATTTGGTATTGTATTTTCGATATCTATTCTTCAATATATCCTTATGTTTATCAGTTGCCCTGTTATAGTAATTAAGGTTCCTACAACAACAACCAAAATACTTAGTTTCGATCGATACCTAAAAACTAAAGATACTTAGGGCACAAGTCAGCACTGGAAGTAGAAATTGTGATTTACTTAGCGTTGACTTCTTCCGAGTCCAATTTTGTGAAATCCTTAGGGCTCGAAGAATTAATTTGTTAACTTGAGATGCAAAACTTGAGGGATTAAAACTTTTTCTTATTAAAATGTATTGAGAAACATGCTCCAAACAATATACAAGAGAATAAATAGTAGAGTATATATACATGATCAAGCTTGGTGGAAAATAATTTAGATCCACACGAGAAAAAAAAAACAATTCAGATAGATTGTAAGAAGATGAATGAAAAGATAAAACATTTATACAGAGTCCATAACATCAACAAATCCCTTTTGTTGCCTCCGAAATATAATAGCATGCTTTTGTTAACGTGAAAAATTGAAATACAATTGTTTTGTTTAAACGATGACTACGAAATGAGAACGATTATTGAAAAAGACGCTCCAAAACAACACATGAGAGAATACGCAAGTAAAGTAGAGATAAACAGATCAATAAAGAAGATGATCAAGCTTGGTACTAGAGAATGTTTCGTTTGGGATCATCTTGATGAAGATAATCAAAGACAGTTGCATGAGACCACCATTGTTCTAGGATAAGGAAGCTCCTTCATCACCACATTGTCCTTCTAGTTTCTCCGCATCAGGAGGAGGAGGAGGAGGAGGCATCGGACGAGAATATGCTCCTAGAGACTGAAGAGCACAAAAAGTAGACCGTCCATGAAACCCAACAAGAGCACAACCTTTGCTCTCGAGCACAAATTCAACCCGATTTTTGCCTAACACACTTCCAAATGTTGGAGAGGTCCTCCCTTTTGATGTTTTGAAAGCCAACGACGCAATCCACGTATCATTATCAGGAAATTTTATGTAACTCCCCTCTATGGACGTAATAAATTCATTCGGGTAGTCCAGCAGAATAACTGCGACCAAAAAAGGATTCCTACATATAAGTCTCTATCCAAGATCACACATATAGAGATAGCAAGATACACATATGACATATGGTTAAGAGTTTTTAGGAATTATAACCTCTCCTTCTTTTCCATCTACATACTTTGCCCCATGCTGGCGAGTTTCCACTTTGCCTTCGTAATTATACTCGAACCTGATACACCTAATTACATCATCATCATAAAAAACATATATCGCTTTTACTCCTTGTAAAACACCATCATCCCATAGGCTGCCTCTAGGAGCACCTTTGGCTTCCAATTTAGTGAGAGGAAGTGTTATGAAATAAGCTCCAAGAGAGTTTAGGTTCTCATCAGCAAATCCATGAAACCCAACGATCTTTTCACCGTTGCACCCTAGTGAAAACTTAGTACCAGACTTATCCATTCCCATCAGTTCTGAAGTCTTCATGTTGGTTTTGAATTGAAGTGCTTGAATCACACTGGAAGTCTCGTTGTAGTAACCCTCAACAGATAGCAGGTATTCCTTGTCGAGATGATTAATCTCAAACTACACACCCCAACCAAAAAAAAAACATTACATTACCATTCAAATAATATTTTTTGGAATCGATTTACTTATTTATTTCTTCTATCATACATACCGGTTCCAGATTTACACTTTTACCTGAACCATGAACTAGCCCTTCTTCGACGTGTCCACCCTTGTTAACGTAATCGAATTGGATGTTTGCTATGCCTTTAGAACCATATTTTACATGAATCTTTGTTACACCCTCATGGTTGGCTCCATCATCCCACTCCTTGCCTCGTTTGCCCCCTTTTGCTTCCGTTTTAGTTGGAGTAATCCAAGTGAAATATGCTCCAAGAGAATTGAGGTTCGTCACAGCATTTCCGTAAAACCCAATGATCTTGTTTCCATCGACTGCTAGTGTAAATTTATCACCACGTTCATATCCCATAAATTCAGAAACCCTCAAGTTGGTTTTGAATTGAAGTGCTTGAATCATGACACCCGTAAGGAATATAGCGATATACTTGCTATTGCTGCGATTTTTTATCCTAGGTTGAAGTTCACATGTCTAGAGTATTGCTTCGATACTTTAGATCCATCCACGAGTAAGTCAAAATTGGATCATGTGCGTAAGAAGCTGAAGAAGCTTTTTGATGTTTATAAGAAAAATCCAAAGAAACCTGCATCAGGAACTTCAGAAACAAGAACATCGGAACCAAACATCCTTCCAGGCTACGCTGTAAGATTCTCTCACGATTTCTCTTACGTTTTTGATATATGTGATTAGTGTTAGTTTCTTATAGTTTAGAATCGTTTCAGGGGTATTATGCTTTTATTTCCCAAACGGCTGGTGCTAGTGGAAAATCGTCGTTAGACAAGTATTTGGATGAGCCGGTTATGGATATGATTGCATTTAGGAGCTTGAATATTTTGGCTTATTGGAGAGATAATGCTAATCGTTTTAAGGAATTATCTACCATGGCTTGTGATGTCCTTAGCATCCCTATTACAACTGTGGCTTCGGAATCTTCATTTAGCATAGGAAGCCGTGTGTTAAACAAGTATAGGAGTTCACTTCTCCCTTCAAATGTGCAAGCTTTGATCTGTGCAAGAAATTGGCTGCGAGGCTTTGAAGAGATTGGTAATTGTTTTTTGTTTTTGTCATGTTAGAATTAGTTAGTATTTGACTCAAAAGATCATTAAGTTTTTGTTCTTTTGTTGTGTGTAGGTGATCAGTTTGAGTTATCTGAGGAAGACAAAGGAGGAGAAGAAGCTATTTAAAACATTTGTATCTTTGGATTTGGTATTATGATACTTGAGTTTGACAAACTCTATTTTCTAAATTTATACTTTTGGATTATGTTTTTGGATTTGTATGGATGAGAATTTGTTACTTTTGTTAGTTTATATTCAAATGTGTTTTTGGATTTGTATGAAATGATAATTTGTTCTATAAAGTATGTTTTTGAATGTATTTGTTCGGAATGTATCACAATGTTTAAGAATCATCATATTGGTCGTTAATGGACAGCCCATTTGAAATTGGTCGTCAATGGGCATAGTCTATAATGGGCATAGTCCATAATGGACATGGTCACAATATGTCCACAGATAAAATGGACAAAAATGGACTGGTCCAAATGGACGAGGACAGCCCATTTTGCCGGCTCTACGGATCCGCAGTGATAGACTAGAACAGATTTAAGATGTTCGTTTTTTAGATGGTTAATCTCAAACTGCAAAACAAATTGGTGAAAAACTAAAGTCAATGTTATCCACGTGAACACAAATAAACGGGGAGTTAAATTAGAATATTTCCAACATCCAAGCCATACCATCTGTGTCAAACCTTCACCCGCGTGACCATGGAATGCTCCATCTTTTGGTTGTCCTGTCTTGACATAGTCGAACTTGACGAACTGTATGCCTTCAAGACCACATCGTACATATATCTTTGTTACATCACAATGGTCAGATCCATCATCCCAATCATACCTGCTTTGGGAAATCGTGTTTCCTACCGCTTCCAACCTTTGGGCCATCTCGGAAAGATTTGAGTCTTGAGACATGAAGGCCTATTGTGCTTTTTAGTCAATTATATTAATCATTACCCACATGTGAAATTTTTCAAAAACGAAAGTAAAAACCACTCAAATCAAGGATCAATTCATCATGATCTAAATCAAAGGAAGAAAGAGACTATTTGAAGAGAGCAGATAATCATATTGTCTGAAAAGACAGCAGTAATAAGTAAAATTCAGGAGATAATCATGCTCTACAAAAACTTAAAAATTATGATGACTAATTACGCATACAACACTAAATTTTAAGAATCTAGTGCTAGCTCAAACATTGGCGTAAACAAAAGTAAATGTGTATTGAGATAGAGAGAGAGCTAACATTTGGCTACGCTGGTGGATGAAAAGAGAGAGTTGAAGAATAGAGAGTCCCTAAGCTGCTGGATAAAGGTTTCTATTATATACATGCTAGTGAAATATATGGGTCGGAGGACATCGCCGGTCAGTATACATATTACATAGCCATTTAATTAGAACATTTAAGCATTTTCTTTTGACATCAAACATTTTAAAACTTTTAAAATCTAATTATTGTAGAATTATCAGCAAGATGAGTCTTCAACACGTTCGCTAATAAGGTTAATATTTAATTTTTGTAATTAATTTTGTCAACGCATTGTATTGAATTCATTTTATTTTTTGGCACTTGTATACTCCATATGGTTGTTTGTCAGTGGAGGAATTAGTAAAATTATTTAAAAATATTAATGAGTGGAATTTAAGACCTATGTTGCATGGAAACGGAAACGGGTATGTGGAAGCGGAACGTTTCTAAACGTGGAAACATTATTTTCTAAAAGTATAGAAATGAAAACGTTTTGGAAAAGTGTATATATATATATATATTATATATTAAGTATTAAAGATCTAATTATATCATAAGTAGAATATTTGATCATTTAATTTAATTTTTATAATTATCTATTTGTCTCGTAAAAACAAAAAATTAGTTTTTATCTTCTTTCCAAAATAGAAACGCATGTTTCTAAAATAAAATGCGTTTCCAAAGTGTTTTCAAATTAGAATTTTTAGAAAACATAATTTTTCGTGTTTCCGACGAGTTTCCGAGAGTTTCGGAAGCAGGAAACGTACCTCGGACGGAGTTTCCATGTAACCTAGCTAGGTTAAGACTATGTTCAATGGGAAAAGTTCTTACAAAAAGCTCTTATATATTATATAAATATAATTTAATTATAACATTAATTTTTAAATATAAAAATAATTGGACCAGTGATATAATACCACATATTTTTAAAGTATCTTAGTATTGTTAAAAGTAGTTTCTTAATTTCTTATATAAGAGTTGTATCTAACTCTCTCTTCCTTTTTACAGTTTTATTATTTTTTTATGTTTAGAAACTCATTTAAGATATTGCAATGCACATGGTCTAAGAGCATCACCAGCCGCGGAAGAGGTCTCCTAATATTAAAATATATAAATATAATAAAAAGATATGAAAAGGATAAAAAAATCTCTCATTTTTAGATTCCCAGATACGTTTCTAAACATGTTTCTATCACCTGTTTTTTTATAACTGGATCAATCAATTTATATTTAATAATTAACTAGGATATTGGCCCGCACGCATGTGCAGACATGAACAATTTTAAAAATGTAATTATCTAAATACAATATTTAAATCCGACTTAGTTTTTTTAATTTTTTTGTAATTTATGAAACTCAAAGTTAGTGTTTTGAATTATAAGACTTTAAATTTAATAGTAAAATATGATCTAATTTTAACTAAATATTTTTTATAATAAAAAGTTCATGTATATTTTGAGACAGACTTGAAAATATTAATTAAATTTGGAAAACACAAAAATTATTTTTCAATGAACAGGTTTTGTAAAACCTGACCCGCTATGTTAGAGGGTCAAATAGGTCAAACCCGTGGATAGTTGGTTACCTTCTTCAAATTTGCGGATTAGGCTGCAAATTTTATCTTCTCTGTTTTTTTTTATTTGAATAAACATTTTTCATTTTCTTTGTCTTCCTATAATCTTCTTCAATTAAAGCATTATTTCTTCAAGGATTCTGTCATTGTTGGTCTCGATCTACTCATATTTGTGATTTTTCTACTTATAATTTTATCAAGTGGACTCTACAAATAATTGCAAGACCATCTCCATTTAAGCATCAAGTGCTTCAACTAACCCTATTGCAAGACATGTTTCAGCAAATGTTAGATATAAAACTCCATTTACTGTCCTGATATCTTTGAAGCATACTGGTCATCTCTGAACATTTAGCAACAGAAAAGCTCACTATATTATTTTAAAACTTCTGGAAGGCTGATATCATAGGAAACATTATTTTTTCTGTTGCACATATGAGGGAGCCACTTCTTAATTTTTTGATGCCAAATCCATTTGTTTGAAAATTCAGTGTAGCGATAAAACCTTGCTTCATTACACTCATGATTGAAGTCTATCCAACCTTCAAGTTTCATTTTAGCCATATTCAATTTAGGTAAATGGATTGGTAGAACTATCATGCCCGCACTTTGAGTTAGGGTTTGATTTGTTTGATACTCATGTATATTTTGATGTTTTTTTATATAAGGACCCGAGTATTTAATTTTTTTTATTACGTAGTTGTTTGGAATGAACGTGATTTTATATGGATCTTTTGGTTTTTATTAAATGAACATTAAACTTTTTTAATAATGTAGAGGATTATAATTTTGGTTTTTCATTAGATGCACGTTGATTTTTTAGGATATCTAATGTTTGTTAAGAAAAATAAAGTAGAGAATTATTAAATCAAAATCGTATATTTATATTTGTTATAATTTTAAACTAAACTAATTTTAAATTTTGAATGTTCTACAGCATATGTGCATGTATTCCATATGAATAAAGTATTATAATTTATATGTAGATATGTGTATATATGAAAAGTCACAGTGGTCCACGACAGAGCTATAATAAATTTTATAAGTATATAATCATCACGTTCAGCCCAAAACATATATATGTGTATTAAAATCATCACGTTCAGCCCAAAATTTATCTACTATTACTCATATAGATGAATAATAATATCAGGCTATTCGTAGTGCATGCGGCGAATCATTCCAGATTTAGTTATTAATACATTAAATTTTGTCATCTAATTAATTTTTTTATTTATGAAAATATCATAAAAATTCTTTTTGTCATGTCATCAACCACATGTGTTAGTAAATGTCATATCACAATTACATCATCATTACACATCATCATTTTCATGTCACATTTAAATAGGGTAGACAAATGATTTTAACTAATCAGATTAAAACAAATCAGTATTTTTCATTAAACTACATTCTCAATTAATAGGTAGAGGATTAAATTATAAATATATATTTATAAAATATGTATTAGAAATCCAATTTAAAATACTTATCGATGAGGATGATCTAAAAAAAATTTGTTTTTGTTTCACTTATTCTTCTCCAAAAACATGTCCCTAATAAATGTGTTCTATTATCTTCCTTCAGCAAAATAAATGAATTTCAATTTTTATTTTCCTCTTGCAAATGGTAAAATTAATTTGGGAGGAGAATAATTAGAGAAAATTCTCATAAAAAAAATTTCAAAATGGCAGTTACTTAAACTTTAAACCACTTACACTTTAAACTAGGGGTGGGCATTTCGGTTTTTGGTTTGGTTTCGGTTTGGTTTTTTCGGTTTTACGGTTTATCGGTTTTACAAAAATTCAAACCATATAAAAGCCATATACATTTAGGTTCGGTATGGTTTGGTTTTTTACGGTTCGGTTTGATATGGTTTGGTTTCAGTTTTTTGGAATTATGCTATCACGAAAGTTTTTGATTCAAATTAATGGAAATAATAATAATAGATATGAGTGAAATAAAATAATAAATCCAAAAAATATAATCTAAATCATAAAAAATTCATCAATAAGGACAGATTTCAAAACAAAGAAACAAACAAATTATCAAATCTTTCATAATTAATAATTATAAAACAATAAACAAATCTAGATTAAAATTTAATACCTATAGCCTTGGAACTAGAACTAGAAGACTTGAATGTGAAGAAAAAAGAGTTAATCACGTTTTTCTTTATTGAAAATTTAAGGTTTACTTTATTATTTATATGTAGATATTTTTTATAAATATTATATTTTAAATTTATGAGTTAAGTTAGTAAATTATAAAGATAACTAAGCCAAATAATAAAATATATACCTAAACTAAATTAAGAAACTAGGAAAATATAAATTATTTAAAATTTAGTTTAAAAACCGAAAAAACCTTTTGATTTGACGGTTTTTAACCAAACCAAACCTAAACCAAAGCTATAAAAAATTAATGGCCAAATGGATTTTTAGGTTTAACCATAACCAAACCATATCACTTTTTTCGATTCGGTATGATTTGGTTTTTTTGGTTATAGTTTTTGTGCCCACCCCTACTTTAAACATCGAAAGTTTTAACTAACATTTTAAACTTTCAAACTAATTTTCTTAATATATTAACTATCAATTTACTCTTTTTCTTTGTGCCGATATTTTTTTAGACGGAATGTTAACTTAGATAACAGAATGTGCTTTCCGGTGACAATATAGTACTTCTCCGATTATGGAAATAAAAATACAAATTAAATTAATTGATTTACAGATGCGTTGAAATAAAAAGAAGATAAATCTCACTTTCAATCGACTGATTAAGATAAGTTTTGAAATTTCATAATTATAGATATTGAGATTTTTAGCTAGCGTAAATAGTTTTTGAATATGATTTATCAATTCTAGTTGGATTTTTTTGGTTTCCATTCCGTTACTGAGGTAAAATCGAACAGACAGGTTTTAAATTTGGTTTGGTTATTGGTATAGGTTACTCAAATTTTCTTTTTTTAAGAAATCGAAATTATACCGAAACATATTGAAATATACAAAATTAGAGTAAACTGAATATCCAAAATTACCTGAATCTAACCAAATTTAACCCAAGTTAAACAAAAAATATATAAATTCAGTTAATTGCGGGTAGCAAAATTAAACTACCCGATATCCAACCAAACCAAATTAAATTTTCGTTATTTTCGGCCGAATTTCAAATATTCAAATTATCCGACTATTGGAATTATCCCATCTAAACTATCCGAAGTCGCAGGACTAGAAGTAATAAATGAGGAGATGCACATACTGATTATGAGTATATTAGACTTTCTTAAGCAAAGGATTAACAAAGTAGTTTTACTAGAGTAGTACAGATTTAAAGCATTCGTAAAAGCAAAACATATATCGAACTGATGGGGCTCTCAAGTAAACTTATCCTTCAAACCTTTTAGTGTTTCAGATTAGCAGGAGAAAGCGGTGCGAAATAAGCTCCAAGAGAGTAAAGGATTTTGTCAGAAGATCCATGGAAGCCAATAATCTTCTTGCCTTTGACTTCAACTTTAAACGTAGTACCAACGTCATATCCCATGTATGCAGAAGTCCTGATGTTGGTTTTGATCACAAGTCCTTGTATCGCACCCTCGTCGAAGTAACACTTGACAGATACGATATGTTCATCGCACGTGTGGTTAAGATCAAACTGAAAAATGTATATAGATCCACATGAAAAGAAAAAAAAACATTCAGATTGATTAAAAGACGATAAATAAAATGCCTATTAAAAAAAAAAATATATATATATATATATATATATATATATACAGAGTCCATAACATCAACAAAAGCCTAAAAAAAAAGCCTATACCGAATCTAACCATTATTCCTACGTATTAATTGAACCGGTCGCTATTCCTAAGAATTAATCCGGTTTGATCGGGAGGAGAAATCGAACAGTATCAGTCTGGGTTTGAACAAGTCACGATTCAGAGAAAAGATTGGTGAAATTCTCAGGTCTATATCAAACCCACCATATTGGTACATGCAACCTAACAAACTTGAAGATCGCAGAAAAATCAATCAATCGTTGATGAATCGACCAAGAAACCATATGAAAGAGAGTTTGAAGACATACACACTCGGTGAAACTTTGACCGGAGCAACCATGGGTTGGTCCAGCTTTAGGTTGTCCGTTCTTGACATAGTCGAACTTGATGGACTCTATACCTTCAGAACCTTCTCGTATATAGATCTGTGATATGCCTTCATGATCGGCTCCATCATCCCATTCCTTGCCTCCTTTCCCGCCTTTAGCTTCCATCTTTTGCACCATTGGGAATCGATTTGGATCTGTTGATATATAATACATAGAAATTGAATCTTGCAAGTTCTAAACAGTCAAATATGTTTCTTTAAATTCTGAAATTAAAAACGGAAGATGATGATGACAAGTATTATTAATAATCACATTTGGTAAAGATTTGTAATACTTATACCTGATGGACCTTCAGAAGAGATATTAGGGCGTTGCATTTTTTCTTTAAGATTCAGATAGCCGCTGAAATGGTTAAATTGTCTCATTAATTAATGATTCTCTTAGAGCACCTCCAACGGAGTTGCTCATCACAGTTTCTTATCTAAAAAATAATAAAATAATAAAAAATATGAGAGAGAAGGAATAAGGCTTCTTAGACCATCTCCATCAGCATCTTTAAGAGGGTATCTAACAAAAAAAAATTATAAAAAAAGAAAAAAAAGTGGAGAGAAGAGATACGTCTCTTATATAGACATTTCTACATATGTATTTTAACACAATCTTAACACATGTAAACTAACTATTGGTTTACTTTCTTTCTTAGTTAAAATTTAATTATATAAATAAATTTTATTATTTTTATATATTTTAAATACTCAAAAACATCTCTTTACCGATGGACATGCTCTTAGTTAAGGAGTTTGAAAACCCATTTTCACCTTTACAAGAATCCCATTTATTACATGTTATTTTATAATTGGTTTAATTTTTCATTTGATTTTAAAACTAATTTTTTCTTTTTTTTAGGAAATCCTTCAAGGGTTTACTCATTGGAGATGGTTTTACATTTCGAGTTTCTAGAAGTTCTGACTTCTGAGGGACTGTTTGGTAATTACGGTTTAAATAGTATTAATATATCCAATGTTTGTTTTTACTTCCATTTACGATTACATTTATGTTTTAATATTTTTTAATCAAAAATATAATTTAATGAAAAATATTTATTTACTATAATTTTATTGGTCGATATGTTTAGTTTAAGTAATTTAATTAGTTAGTATATTCAATTTGAACGATTTAAATATGATGTAGAAATAATAATATGTAGTTACGATGTAATTGTAACATGTTAATATTCTATACATTTGACTTATGATACGATATAACTTAATCTATAAATAAAATTTAACTTTAAAAATTTGATACGAAATTTAAGTATTTAAATTTATAGTAGAAAATTTAGGAAATGAAATTTTTGTTAAATAGACTTAAAATCACATTTCGACAAAAAAACTTTTGTCATGAAATATACGAATTTTAAGTATTTAGCAGGAAACTAGTATCTAATTTGCCGGAGAGTTTCTGATGTCACATATTTTTGACAAATAATTATAAATTCATAATTTTTGGTAAAATCAAATCATAAAATCAAATTAAAATACTTTAATATTTTGGTAAGAAAGTTTTTTGGAATCAGGTTTTCACAAAAAAAACCAAATTATATTTTTATATAACTTTTTTGGCGGAAAAATTATGGCTTCACTTATTTGGCAAAAAAATCATTAAAATCAAAATTTTGACTAATAGTTTTTGGAATTTCGTTTTCAATGTAAATTTGTTGGTGAATTGTTTTTTAAAATTCACATTTTGGCTGAAAATTTACAAAATCAAAATTTTGACAAAATACTTTTGTAATCATATTTTGGTGGAAAAGTTATTGATTCACGTTTTTGACAGAAAATTTGCAAAATCAGATTTTTGACAGAAAGGTTTTGATATCTTATTTTTAAGTAATTTTTTGGCGAAATATTTATAAGTTCAAATTTTTGTGTGAAATTTACGGAATCAGATTTTTAGAGAGAGAATTTCTTAAATATTATTATCATCTTAGAGCAAGCTCAATAGAAACACCATTAGCATGAGTCTTATTGATTAATTCTTAATATTTTGTGTACTTTAGATATATAAGATACTTTACAGTATTTTGTTGTTTTTAAAACATACAATAGAGACACTTTTGATGAGTGTCATAAAAAAGAAAGAAAATATATATATATATATATTAAACAAATTTAAGTAAAAACTTTAGTCAACAACTTTTAAAACATAATACATTTTCAAAAATATAATACATGAAAACATATAAATTATAAAAGTGCAATTCTGAAACTGAAATTTTTTGATTGTCCACTCACAGTTTGCCACGTGTGCGTTATTAATTTAGACATTGGTGTCTTCATTTAGACACTGGTCTAAAATATAAGACACCATGAACTATTTTTTTATTCAATTTTATTATTAAAAATATTTGTTTAGACACCCAAAAGTCTCTATTGGGGTTGGTCATATGTTGTCTCATTACAAATATAGAACAAAATTTTATATTATATTTGAATGTATTCCAATTATATAGAAAGAGTTGTGAACCAAAAATAGGACAAAATGTGACAAAATGAGATGCAAAACTATAATAATATAAGAAAAATATGAATATAAAGTAGAAGACAAAGAAGACGAAGAATACAAAATAATCTTTTTTATTTATTTTTTTAAGTATTTTGAGTTTTGTGTATATTTTATTTTTTGCTATATACAATTTTTTAAATCTATTTGAATATTGTTTTACAAACTAAAACTTTCTACAAGTATATTATTAAACAGGTCAATCACTTATTTATTATATATGATAAATATTATTATTAACTAATTTTTATCATAATTCTCATGTCTACACATATGTGCGGACCAACCATCTAATAGAGAAATTTAAATCGATAACTAAAAAATAATTATAATTTACAAAAGAATCCATTTTTTCTCCTATATGTTTCTAATTTTCTATCTTTCTCTCGAAAGAATTGGTTAGTTTGTGAAAAACAAAATCTTTTATGGTTATCCAACAAATCCTCCCTTATAAATATTTTTTGAAGAAAAAACAAAAAAAATAATTATTCAATTCATATTTTTTCTTTCTTAATATATGTATATAATTCTTAAACATCATTTGAAATGAAATATAAGTTATATAATATTATTTCTTGAATAAATTGAACAAACGTTCATTGTTAAAATGTAACAAAAACCGGACCGAATACTTAAATGTAAACTGAAAATTTTTTAAAAATATATATATAACAACTTCTCTTCCAAAGTAACTACGGGAAATGTTTCAGGCTCTAGAGAATAAGAATAAAGGGTCAGCTTTAAATGAAAATAGAATTCGTTCTAATATGAATTCTCCCAAAGGAGCCGTCGTCTTGAAGAAACGTGTTTAAAAGAAAACGCTGTTTTATTACTTTGAGTGGAAAGGAAAACAAAAGAGAATTACAATTTAAAAGAAAATACTGTTTTATTACACGAAATTGGGAAAACTCCACAAAATATAGGAAATAATACCTCGTAGAGTGCAAGATAGGAGGAGATCATAAAAAAAGAAAAAAGAAAAAAGCATGATAAAAACTTGCTCGAGAATGTTTCGATCGAGCTCATACATGTGTGTAGATGATCAATCTGTAATAGGCAGGACATGGACCCCAATTTGATGAAGCAAGTTACTTATTTTTCCATGGAACCCGACGATCTTGTTACCTTCCTTCTCGAGTATGAAGCTTGAGGTTGTCTCTTGTCCAAAGTCTCGAGACGTTCGCATATTGGTCTTGAACCTAAGCATGCGTATAACTTGAGATTCACTTGCATCATCATAACTACCTTCGACAGATGTTATGTATTCACTTGGGTATTGCAACTCAAGCTGCAGAAAGAAAGAAAAAGAAAAAGGAAAAATCCCCAATAAATAAGTTGATCAAGAGCACAAAGTTTATAAGAAACCTGAAATAACCACCTTATCAACAGTCATCAATGTCTTGCTCCCATGATCATCTCCGACCACCACATGATAGTCCTTCACGTACAGAAACTTGACGAATGAGACACCCATCTCGGTGTGTCCTATGTATATCTTTGTAATACCATCGAAACCACCATCGTCCCAAGCAGCTCCTCTATCACCACCTATTGGTTCTACTTTCTCGGCATCGGGAGGAGGAGGCAGCGGAAGAAAATATGCTCCAAGCGAATAAATAGCACGATTAGTAAACCGTCCATGGAATCCAACAAGAGCACAACCTTTGCTCTCAAGCAAGAATTTACTGCCCGACCCGTTTCCAAATGTTGGCGAGGTTCTCCCTTTTGACGTTTTGAAAGTCAATGATTCGACCCACGAATGTCCACTGGTTTTCAGAGTCCCCTCCACATATGTGATAAATTCATTTGGATAGTCCACCTCAAACTGCATGCAATTAAACCAAAATAAATAAATAAATAAAAATTGCATTATTAAACTTTAAAACCTAATTAAGAACGAACAGATATATATCTATATAAAGTTGTAGGAATCATGACCTCTCCTTCTTTTCCATGATTAGTCCCATGCTCATACGTTTCAACTTTGCCTCCGTTGTCGTAGAGGAATCGGACACCAGCTACATAATGTTCCGCATCATTAGTGTGTACGTACACCTTCCTCACGCCCTCAAAAGTACCATCATCCCAAAGGTCGCCAAATGTACCACCCTGGCATTCCACTTTAGTGAAATGGGAGGTTGTGAAATATGCTCCGAGAGAGTTCAGATTCTTCTCAGCGTATCCATGAAACCCAATGATCTTCTTCCCATTGTCTGCTAGTCTAAACTTTTTACCTGTGTCTTCTCCCATCAGTTCTGAAGTCTTGACGTTTGTTTTGAATTGAAGTCCTTGAATGATCCCGGACTTGCTATCGTCATAGTAACCCTCAACAGATACCAGATACTCCTTGTTGAGATGGTCGATCTCAAACTTCAAAACACCATATAATAAAGCAAAGGCTACATTAACATTTAATAATGTGCTCGTGGAATCAAATTGAGAGGTTAGCATTTTCCAAGTCAGACATACCGGCTGCGTGAAACCTTTACCCATGACACCATGGGTTGACCCATATATCTGTTGTCCATCCTTGACATAGTCAAACTTGATGAATTGTATACCTTTAGAACCACCTCGTACATATACTTTGGTAACACCTTCATGGTCGGCTCCATCGCTCCACTCCTTACCTCCCTTTCCACCTCTCGCTACCAAGTTAGCTGGAGAAATCCAAGTGAAGTAAGCTCCAAGAGAGTTGAGCTGTGACTCAGAAGATCCGTGAAACCCGATGATCTTCTTTCCCTCCACAGCTAGTGAAAACTTGATGCCATTTTGTACATATCCTATCAGCTCCGAAACACGCAGATTGGTTTTGAATTGAATTCCTAGTATCACACTCGACTTGGGTTCGTAGTAACCCTCAACAGATTCAAGTTGTTCATCTTTTAGATGGTTTAACTCAAACTGCAAAAATCGTTTAGATGGTGAAACAAAATTCAAATCACGACGTCAATAATATCCACATTAGCACGGAATAAAAGGGAGTAGTATTTTTCAAAATCATTCCGTCTGAGTGAGACCTGGATTCGTCAAACCATGAAATGTTCCATATATCGGCTGTCCACTCTTGATATAGTCGAAACGGATGTAGCTTATTCCTTGAGGGTCAGCTCGTATAGATATCTTTGTTACATCATCATAGTCGGATCCGTCGTCCCACTTTTCTTTGCCTTCCTTGTTCCCTTGCGCTTCCAACCGTTGAACCATCTCGAACAGATTTGACTTCATATATAGATGGGTGTAATAGTGTTTCTTAGTTATAAGTTGCATAAATACACACTTCTGTTTCTTAAAGTTATAATTTGAAAAAAATACACATTGTCAAGAAAGTAACATTTGGACTTAATCATATGCTCGCATATTAAGTAAAACAATATTTTGGATATGAACTTAATTATAAAGGCTATGAAACATTGATGTAAATAAAAGCAAGTCGAGAGAGAGAGAGAGAGAGAGAGAGAGAGAGAGAGAGAGAGAGAGAGAGAGAACTGACCTACGATGGTGGAGGAGAGAAAAGATAGTATTGTGTGATCTCTAAGCTAAGGGATGAAGTCTTTTTATACAAGTTTTGGCTGTGTTACAAATGTATTACTCCTTTTTAGTCAATATATTATATTTCTCTTTTTTAGTCAATATATAATAGAAGAAATGATCCCAATGACTAGAAAATAATGTCAAAGATGCACCACTGCAAAGAATTACACCTCTTTAAAATATATGTTATAAATACCACTATTATCTTTATAACTATTTTCTTATTACATACTAATAATAGATTATATACATACTAATGGCATATCAATTTATTATACAACCGAAAGTAGATTAGATGCATATTAATAACAGATTATAAGCAAACTAACAGCAGATTCAAGGCACATTAGTAAACTGTTTTTATAATGTTTCCTAATAAGAATCCTATTTTCACATTAAGATTGTAAAAAATACTATTTAAACAAACAATTTTATATTATATATATCCATTTAAAACATTAAGGATGTAAATGGTACCAGCCTAATACTAAATGGTAAATTGGGGCACACATTTTCTTCTCCTTCCTTTCCTTTTCAGTTTTTATTTTTCCTTATGTTTTCAATTTTTGTAAGAAAAAACCAAATCAAACTCACAATATGACTAATAGAATATTAAAATATTGAAAAAAAATCGCAGCACATATCATAGTTTTAAATTTAAAATGAGCAACATTTACTCAAAACACATATGTATCTTGATAATATTAAAGATAAATCATTTTATAAATATACACACATATAGATACATAGACTGATTAAATGAATATATGCAAGTTAAAAAGAAATTATAAAATATAGTAGTTGTTTCAAAATTGAACTTATAAACTCCGCAATGTAAAAAATACATATAATGAAATGCTGTTTGATTCTATATCATTTCATTTATTATGTGTTCAATATATAGTACTCCCTCCATTTCATAAAAAATATCGTTTTAGAGTTTTGTTTTTGTTTCACAAAATGTGTCGTTTTAGGTTTCCAATGCAAATTTATAACAAAATATCCAGTTTTAACCTTGTTATTTTAGTGTATTAATTAGAAAGAGATAATTATTTATTGTATTTATTAGAGATAAAAAAGACTTTTTGTTAATTTTCTTAATTTGTGTGAAAAGTGTCAAAGTGACACTTATTTTGAAACAGAGGGAGTATAATTTAAACATTCTATATCAAATTCAACATTCCTAGTTTTTTTGGAAGGATTGTGAACTTAGATAATTCTCACAGGATATTGAGACTAATTAATAATAATTAAGAGATGTAATTAGTCATGCTACTTCTTTTCTCTCCAGTGACATTTGCAATTTTCAAAGGATCCTATGAACTTTTCTCATGTCAAATAGAAGGTCAGTTTTATTAATTAATATGTAAAATTCGTGATTCAAATTCAGCTATCCCGTTAGTTTCCTGCATAGCCTTTTAAAATCATTGGCTATTCTGCTATATGCAACCAAAAATCACAATAAATTTCTGTCAAATTCAACATCAGTTAAATTCATCAGTTATTAGCGTATTATTAATAGACTAAATGAAGTCTTCTCCGCGAATATTGTTTTGCACGATTGTGAATTTGATTCACGATTTAGAAAAATACACATTGTGCATATAATCGTCTAATGAAACCCAACTTGCACTATTGTACATTTAGTTAGTTTATATTTTCGCGTATGCTTGTATTTAATAATCCGATTTAATTTATTAAACAAAATACATTATAATCGATGTGATGGTATACCATTTATAAAATATTAATAAACAATTTAAGAAGAATGTCTATAACTATGTCACTATGATTACCAATACCATCAATTCGAAATTTGCGTTTTGGCTCTGTACGAGGTTTCTAACTAAAAACACTTTCAAGATTAATCATTATAACTTAAAAAAATGTTGTCACTTAGATTCAAACGTAAAATGAAGAATAAAATAATAAAAAGAACCCCCAACCAAAAGTTTTAAACCAATTTATTTAGATTCGTTTTGGAACTCTGGCACTAAATATTTAGGAGATCCTAAAAAGCCGCTTGGAGTCATGGAAATAGTACGTTGCATTTATCATAGATGGAGTTATGGACTTTGTTTAGTGACAATAAGCGAGAAAACTAATTCGATACACGGTAATACGTGTGCAGTCTCTGAGAGTTTTAAGGTGGAAAGATCGGAGAAGATGCAACAAATTAACGTTCGATCAAAAGGTAAAGCACGTGATAAGATGTATAAACTGACATATCAACTGACTTGCTGAGTTAGATAGACTCGCATGAATTCAAAAAATTGTTGCAATTGTTTTGGAAACATTAAACTTGAACAATACATTTACATGTCTCTTTGAAGATTGCTTGAAGAATCTTGGTTATTGTTTTATCAAATTAGTATATATAGATTTGAGGGTTGAGGTTGAGCCGTACGTTAACAATAAAATCCCTTTGTTTAATGATTATAAACGGTGAGGTTCAGCCGTTCAGCCGTTCAGCCATTAACACTTTTAAGATTAATGATTATATCAACAAAAAAATGTAGTCACTAAGAGTAACGTAAAATAAAGAATATATATCTATACTAAATAAAAGGAACTATTTGGGGCTCCTATCCATCTCAGCTTTTCAAACTACTCTAAAAATATGACACATCAGCAAAAAATAATAATACAAATTCCCACTTTAGATTTTTTTGAAATACACATAAAGTAAATAAATAAAACCAAAATTAATATAGTTAAATACAAGAGTAAATAAAAATAAAATATTATTTTTTTGAATCAATAAAATAAATATTATTTAAATCTATAACATCAATATATACTCTTTTGTTTGTAATATAACAAATTAACAATAATGAAAATTCTCACTTTAGATTTTTTTGAAATACACATAAAATAAATAAATAGAACCATTAAATTAATATAGTTATTAGCAAAAACTAAATAAAACTATATATCACTTTAATCAGTAAAATAAATATCATTTAAATCTGTAGCATTAATATATACTCATTTTTGTCACTAAAATTAATATAGTTACGAACAAAAGTAAATAAAATTAAAATATCATTTTTTGAATCAGTAAAATAAACATCATTTAAATTTATAGCATCAATATATACTTCTTTTGTTTGTAATATAACAATAATAAAAAAGTTTACTTTATATCTTTTAAAATACACATAAAATAAATAAATAGAACCACTAAGTTAATATAGTTATTAGGAATAAGTAAATAAAACTAAATATCATTTTCGAAATCAGTAAAATAAATATCATTTAAATCTGTAGCATTAATATATACTCCTTTTTGTAATATAGTGAATATATTGGACAAGAAATTGCTCTAAAAAACTTAAATAATAGTTAATAGAAACAAGATTACAAAATAATAATTTCTAAAATAAAATTTAAAATATTTACAAATTATAAAAATCTAAACCATTCACCTTTTAGAAACATAAAGATTAAACATCATAGTACGTTAGATTTATGACAACCAACAAGACAACATAAATTATAGGAAGCTTTTCAAAGCATCTATCTATATGAAGATTTCGATCATCGTTACTATTTACATTGCAGAAAATGATAGACAAAAGAAGAATTTCATGCACTGATATTTATTCAATGTGTGTCTTAGTTGGCTTAAGGTAGTCAAGTTACTACAAGCGATACATGTCAGCGCATGAGTTAAACAGTTTATAAAAAAAAAAAAATTTAGATGACAGTTAATTTTTATATATATCAAGTTAGTAAATTTTTAAATTAAATAATAATGCATTTTTGAAAAAATAACATACACATTTTTATGTAGAAGAAAATGTCTAAAAAAATCTCTAATTATCCACATCAACAAAATTCCTTATAAACCCAACTTGAATGAAAAACTAATATGGTTTTTTTTACTGGGTTAAGAAACTCCTTTAAAAATAATACAATATATATTATTAGTTTAATTATAAAGGCTCATCAAAATATATATGTGTAGTTTAAGAAAAAATGTTTAAGTTAAATTACAAGCAAAATTTTTTACATCTTTTGAGTTTTGAGAAACTCAACATACTTTATTTAACATAATGAGTTAGTATGAAATTGTATTTTTATATGTATTACTTGCCTTATTCATCTATATTTTTTTATAGTTTACGTATATTTCATAGACCAAATCAAAATTGCATTTTATCAATATGATTGTGATTTTTTATACTATGTAAATATTGTTTTTATTTATATGAATCATAGTTATTTTATAGATTTATAAGAGATTAGAACATTGAGTGTTGTTTGTATTTGAGATTGCTAATTAAATAAAAACACTACACGAACACAGTTGAAATAAAAATAAAAAAACTAAATTAATTGAAACAATAATAATCAAATTTAGTCAAAACAAAAAATAATTTTAATAATATTTTGAAAGTTAGTAGTGAATAACAGTGAGTTTATATACAAATATTAAGTTTTAGATTAACAGTTAATTTTAGCATATATCAAGTAGGTAATTCTTAAAATTATATCATGATACATTTTTTGAATACATTAAAATATTTTTGATGTATAATCATATCAAAACAATTTTAAAAATTAAATATTATATTTAAAATATTAACTTAAAGTGAAAATAATTTAACTTAGATAATAATCAAATATCTATATAAAAACAATCTGCGCGTAGCGCGGAAACATCTCTAGTACTAAATAAAAGG